CAAATCCTAATAAAAAATAAATAAAAAAATAAAAATAAACTGAATGTCATCATTCTTTCACAGAGATGCTTATTTCCTGTGATGCCATCTCCTTCTTTTTTTGAACTTGGAATGTCAAATAAATGATTAATAATGATCAAATCCCTAATATGTACCAATGACAACTTTATTAATAATTTAAGTGTTAATTGTTGTATTTATTTGAGTAGAATAAGGATCTATTTAAATGTTTCTTTCTCTGTTTTTAAAGCATAGACGTCATGCATGAATACATTCGCTTTTTATAAGATTCAAAGATGTAAAAAGGGAAAAGTGAGAAGAGCCATCTCTAACATCCCTTCCTTTTTGCTTCCCAGAAATGATCACTATTTGGGATATACCTTTGTAGTCTGTTTCCTTTCTGTACATGTACATATGCACTTTTTATTTAAAAAAAACGAACATAAATGAGATTATACTACATGCATTGTACTGTGACGTGCATTTTCTGCTTGACAGTATGTCTTGGATAGCTTTCTGTATCAGTACAGGTAACTGTCCTTCATTATTTTGAACAAACACACAGCATTCTTGAGTAGTATTATGTAATTTAAAATACAAGAGCCACAGGGCGGGGCCTTGTGTGTTTTATTCACTGCTATGTCTCAGTGCTTAGATCAATGCTTGGTTTGTTGTAGGTACTCAGTAAATATAATGAATGAATGATTTATTTTAACGTAGATTCTTTCTGGTTGTAATTAGCAAACTAATGCTGCTGTGAAGATCCTTACAGATGCCTCCCTGTGTACATACTGAAATCTTTTTCTAGGGTGCCTGTGCAGGTGCGTCTTTGGAGACATGCTTTCGTTGTCTTCTAGTTACTGGCATTGCCTCTGAGAGGTACCATGCCAATTTTATTCCGGTTTCTTTTCACGTAACCTATTTCTGTCTCCCAGAAAAGTTCTAGGACTTTCTCTTCATCTTTGGTGGTCTGAAAGTTTACAACAGTTTGTCTAGACAGATGTGGGTTTCTTTTCATTTATCCTCATTTATCCTAATCAGCACTCATTGGACCCTTTAAACTGCAAAGACACACCTTTCTTCAGCTATGGAAAATATTTTTCTCTTCTCTTCTTATTTTTCCTCTGTCAATTCTTTCTGTTCTCTCTTCTGAGACTCTTACTAGATCAGTACTGTAAATTCTGGATATACCTTCCATGCCTTTACTCTTTCTCTCTCACTTTCTGTCATTTCATGGGATTTGGGGCAGGGAAGGAGATAAATAAGTCTGTTCAGTTTGCCATCTTAATCCATTTTCTTGACATAGTTCTTTCTATTCCATAAGGCTGACTTAAAAAAGAAAAAAATGCCTATCGTTTTATTTGTTTCAGCAGTCTGTTCCTGAAGGACCATGACTCATACTTTAGGATAAACAATGGAAGATTAAGATTTGTTTAACACATTTTAGTTTTATAGCCTTCTTTTTTTAAGATGGCTTTTTAAAATAAATAAATAAAGCCATGATACCGATTTTAAAAACAGACTCTCTTGCCTTGTGCTATTGGAGTCAGCCCAGTCACATGAAAAAATGTATTGGTATCTCAATCAGTCATCAAGTCCAGGCAGCTCCGAATGCTGATAAAGGCCCTGATGCATCTCCAGATGGCTGCTCTAAGTGTTAGCTCCAGGTGCATAAGCAGAATACTTGGAGCTGGGCACATAGATTCTCCAGCAAAACCTGAGTACGACGTCTGAGTTTAAATCAAGGTTTCAGAGTAATGGTTCGCAAGCATGGTCGCACATCAGAATTACCTGTGGCACTTTATAAGAATGTACATGTCTGGGGCCTTTGCTGGATCTGTTCAATCAGATCCTGAGCAGGTAGGGCTGGGCACCTAGTTTTTATAGTCTCTAGAGGTTATGTTGATGTACAGCCAAGGTTGAGAACTACTGTTGTTAGAGACCCGCTATACGTATTTTTCAGGAGCTCTGGTGGCATAGTGCCTAACACATTTGACTGCTAACCAGAAGGCTGGTGGTTCAAACCCACCAGCCACTCCTCAGAAGGAAGGTTGGGCCATCTACTTCTGTAGTGATACTGCCTCAGAAACCCAAAGAGGAGTCACTATGAGTTGGATCCAACTCAACGACAGTGTGTTGAGTTGTGTATTCATATTTTCTGCTCAGTGTTTCCTTTTTTTTAAATAGCTATAAATGTTCTTTGGTGCAGAAAAGTCATAATGTACTTACATGGTTTCCTCTTGGTAGACTTCATGTGCTTCTGTCTTTTGCTGGTACAAAGAATCGTTTGTGTAACACTCTGATTGACAGATATCTTTGTACATAGAGCCTTGTGCACATTTGTGAATGTATTTATAGGATAAATTCCCGGAAGTGGGAATTGTCCAGGCAAAGGATATATAGAGAAACCTGTGAGAACCAGAACTTGACAGGACAGCCTTGTTTTTCTGGGACTTGTGGGTTTTTCTCCCTTGACAGGGTATAGTCACCACTTTATATCATTCTCTATTTACTGGGAAATATTTGAGCTTTCCTTCTCTGACAGCTTTCCTCCTTACACAGGTCCCAGCTTTTACAGATATTACTGTATACATTTATAAATTGGAGAGAGATGATACTTGTTTGTGAAAGTGTGCTTTTAAAATCCTCAGGTGTTGTATTCTTAGGCTGAAAATATTCTTCAGTCGTGGAAGTCCTTACTTTTTGTTTTCATTTCCCACTAGGCCAGTACTAAAGTAGAAGTGGACATGGAGAAAGCCGAGAGCTTGCAGGTGACAAGAGGAGACTTCCTTGCTTCTTTGGAGAATGATATCAAGCCAGTGAGTATGCACATTGAGTGATGTGTAAACCAAACAATAAAATAACTTGGGGGAAAAATTAGTGCCTTTTTACCCAGTATTATGGAAAGTTACATATCATTTTATAAAATCAGAAAATCTTAGTGTTGAAAGTGCCCAGCATAAGAATCATTTATATAATATATAATATCTCTGATTGCTGGATGACTAACTAATATTTACCTAAGTATTTCTCATGTTAAGGAGCTTGCTATCTTACAAAACAGCTCATTCACTTTTGAGACTTTCTAATTACTGGTTCTTACCGTCTATTATGGGAGTTCTGGTAGCATAGTGGCTAAGGCACTTGACTGCTGACCAGAAGACTGGCAGTTCAAACCCACCAGCCACTCCTCCGAAGGAAGATGGGGCAGTCTACTTCTGTACCGATACTGCCACGGAAACCCAGGGAGGGGTTGCGCAACTCAACAGCACATAACAACAACAACCTTCTATTATAAGGAGCACTGGTGGCACGGTGCCTAAGGCATTTGATTGCTAACTGGAAGGTTGGCAGGTCAAACCCACCAGCCATTCTGCGGAAGGAAGACTGGACAATCTACTTCCGTAAAGATTTACCACCTCAGAAACCCAATGGGGGTCGCTGTGAGTCAGAATCAATTTGATGGCAGTGGGTTTGGTTTTGACACCTTCTGTTGTACTAGTTTTCCCATTTATTCTTATGGAATCTGAAGTTATGGAAACCTAAATTCACTACATCCTCTAAATGTCAGTTACTATGATATTTTAAATTAACTGTCATATTCTCCTATCTTCCTCTCTCGTACCTTTCCCCAACCTCTCCCAAGCAACATTTTTTCTTACTCAATACCTCTAATTCTTCTAACTGACACAGTTTCCAAGACTCTTAACCATCCTAAGTGTCCTTTAATAATAATAATAATAAATATATGTCAGTATTCTTAAAATGGGAGTCCCTGGGTGATATAAATGGTTAACACACTCAACCACTGTTCAGAGGTTTGAAGGTTTGAGTCCACCCAGACGTGCCTTGGAGGAAAGGCCCAGAAATATTCTTCCTAAAAATCAGCCATTGAAAACCCCATGGAGCACAGTTCTACTCTGACGTACATGGGGTCACCATAAATCGACATGTACTCAGCAGCAACTGGTTTATTCTTAAAATGTACTCAAAACTAGTCATAGTTGGACCTTTATAATGTAGTATAGACCGTTCATCCATTTTTCTATAAAACAACCACCCATGTTGAAATAACTTATTGTTCAGAACCTTGTATTCATAAGGAAAAGGAACAAAAGACTGAAATGAATGACGGAAGAGACTCTGAAACTTGTTTTTGAATGGAGAGTAGCTAAAGCAAAAGGAAGAGATGAAATAAAAGAGCTGAACGGAAGATTTCAAAGGGTGGCTGGAGAAGACAAAGTGAACCTAGAGTTAGAAAACCAAAAGGGAAGGACACGCTCAGCATTTATCAAGCTGAAAGAGCTGAAGAAAAAATTCAAGCCTCAAGTTTCAGTAGTGAAAGATTCTATGGGCAAAATAAAGAACAATACAGAAAGCATCAAAAGAAGATGGAATGAATACACAGTGTCACTGTACCAAAAAGAATTGGTCAACATTCAACCATTTCAGAAAGTAGCATGTGATCAAGAACCGATGGTATTCAAGGAAGAAGTCCAAGCTGCGCTGAAGGAATTGGTGAAAAGCAAGGTTCCAGGAACTGATAGAATACCCATTGAGATATTTCAGCACAAAGATGCAGCACTAGAGACATTCACTTATTTATGCCAAGAAATTAGGAAGACAGCAACCTGGCCAGCCAACTGGACGAGAACCATATTTGTGCCTATTCTAAAGAAAGGAGATCCAACAGAATGTGGAAATTACCAAATAATATCATTAATATCACATGCAAGTAAAATTTTGGTGAAGATAATAAAAAATGGTTGCAGCAAGACATCCATAGGGAACTGCCAGAAAGTCAAGCTAGATTCAAAAGAGGATGTGGAATGAGGAATATCGTTGCTAATGTCAGATAGATCTTGGCTGAAAGCAAAGAACACCAGTAAGAAGTTTACCTGTGTTTTATTGACTGTGCAAAGGCATTCAATTATGGATAACATTGGGAAGAATGGGGATTCCAGAACACTTAATTGTGCTCATGTGGAACCTGTACATAGATGAAGAGGCAATCACGCAAACAGAACAAGAGGATACCGCATGGCTTACAATCAAGCAAGGTATATGTAAGGGTTGTATCCTTTCATCATACTTACTCAATCTGTATGCTGAGCAAATAATCCAGGAAGCTGGACTCTATGAAGAAGAACTCAGTGTCAGGATTGGAGGAAGACTCATTAACAACCTGTGATATGCAGATGACACAACCTTGCTTGCTGAAAGTGAAGATGACTTGAAGCTCTTATTGATGAAGACTACAGCCTTCAGTAAGGATTACGCCTCAACCAAATCCTCACAACTGGATCGATAAGCAATAAATGGAGAAAAGATTGAAGTTGTCAGGGATTTCATTTTACTTGTATCCACAGTCAATGCCCATAGAAACAGCAGTCATGAAATCAGACATCCAGTTGCACTGGGCATATCTGCTGCAAAAGACCTCTTTAAAGTGTTAAAAAACAAAGATGCCCCATGGTATTTTCAATTGCCTCATATGTGTGTGAAAGCTGGACAATAAATAAGGAAGACTGAAAAAGAATTGATGCATTTGAATTGTGATGTTGGCGAAGAGTGTTGAAAGTACCACGGACTACCAGAAGAATGAACAAATTTGGCTTGGAAAAAGTGCAGCTGGAGTCCTCCTTAAAAGCAAGAATGGCCAGACTTCATCTCACATACTTAGATCATGGTGTCAGAAGGGACCATTCCCTGAGAACGATATCATGCTCGATAAAATAGAAGGCCGGCAAAAAAGGGAAAGACCCTCAACAAGATGAATTGACACAGTGGCTGCAACCAAGGACTCAAACATAGCAGAGATTGTGAGGATGGTGGTGCAGGACCAGGGGGTGTTTCGTTCTGAAACAACTTGACCACACCGAACAACAATAGCAGAGTCCTCAAGTAATTCAAAAACAAACTGTATGTTTGTTTTTCTTTCTTAAATGGACATCAGCACAGAATTGGATTAGTTAGTCTTTGGCTCATGACACATTATTGTCATTAGTCTATACATAGATCCTGTGTTATTTTGTCTTATTTAAAAATAATAGGACATTCGTGAGCTGCCCCCAAGCTAATAACAAGAATGTTGACAATATCACACATCTACCTGTGATTCTCTTATTCTGTTCCCTTGCTTCTCTTCATTTTAGTTAACTATTGTTTCAGAATTTTGTAGTCCATTGCTTTCTTTCGATTGTTTTGTTTTAGTTGTTTTTTGGAATTTCACAACGAGAGAATTATGGTGTATGCCATCTTCTGGACTTGCTGTTCTATTAAATATTTTATCATCAGGAGTCATCTGTATGATTTTCTGTAGCTGTACATCATTCATTTTCATTGCTGAATAGTATTCCCTGTGTGACTACCACAATTTACCCATTTTTCTTTCATTGGGTATTTGGATTGTTACCAGTTTTGTTATCACAAACAAGTGCTGCTGTAAGCATTCTGGAGCATATATATTTAGGAATGAAATTGCTGAGTTGCTATATATGTGAATGTCGAACTTTAAAATATGACTTCAAACTGTTTTCCCAGTGTTTAGACCATTGTTCTTAATCTTTGCCATTCATTTGGATATCAAGTTGTATCATTTTGGTCTTGATTTGCATTTCACTGATTACTTATAAAGTTAAGCATTTCTCCATATGTTTGTTGACTGTATGTATGTAGTCTTCAGTGAAATGCTATTCATGCCTTTTTGCCTATTTTTTTCTATTGTATTATTCTTGATTTTTACTTGATCTATACAAGTACTTTATATATTTTGACAATAATTATTTGTTGTAAATATCTCTTGTAAAGGCAAAAATTAATTCATTTTAGCCCTGTCTATATTTTTTTATGACTATTATGACTTTTAAATATAAAATAATTACTTTCAAAAGTTACTGAGCAATGGAAATACTTTAATCTTTTGCTGTTGTCATTTGTAATAGTCACCAAAAAATATTAGAGCTGGGCTTAACTGACGACCTCGTCTAAGATTTTTTTTTTAAACTACTGGATAATCTGGGTATAAACTGGAAGTATGAACTAAGGATTATTTCTTCCAAGGGTCTGGAGGGTGAAACAAAAAAAATGAAATGATGGGATAAATTAGAAAGCTAGTCAGCCTACTATTTCCTAAAACAGCCATTCAACCAGTTTTCATTAGGCTTTTCCTTTATAACCTTTTAGGGCCATTGAATTCACCTTGTCCAACCAGGGAATGAGGATTTGCTCTACCCTCAGGAATTATGTGAGAACACTGATCCAAGAGTGGTCTGAAAAACGATTTTGTAGCAAAGTAATGGAGATGTGAGACCCCTGAATACTGTTTCAGAGACAGGTGCAGATGGTTAACACGCTTAGCTATTAAGCGGAAGGTTGGAAGGCCGATCCCCACAGAAGCACCGTGGGAGGAAGCCTTGGCGATCTACTTCTGAACAGTCAGCCACGGACAAAACCACTCGGACACTCATGCATTTGCCACGAGTCAGGATCAACTTAATGGCAACTGGTTTTATTACAAAGAATGACTTTCTGTGAAATGCACATTCTAAAGATCTGTTAAAATTATTCTGTCCATAAGGACTTCAGAAGGCAACTTTTGAAGGAAATAATCTTTAAAGATTTTAAATACTCAAGACATATAACCCTCGCATGTATGTTGGCTTATGTTTTTCTATTCATTACTTCTCTTAATTAACTTTATGAAAATCCAGTACAATAGCTAAATACTAAAGTTATTGACTGGGAGCTCTGGTAGCATAGTGCCTAAGGCACTTGACTGCTAACCAGAAGGCTAGAGGTTCAAACCCACCAGCCACTCCTCGGAAGGAAGATGGGGCAATCTACTTCCATAGTGATACTGCCTCGGAAACCTAAGGAGGGGTCGCTATGAGTCAGGTCCGACTCGATGGCAAATAACAACAACAACAAAAGTTATTGACTACTTTTGGTAGTTGGTTTGATGGGGGCTATAATTTGAGATTTGAAATTGAGAATGAAGAGGGATGTGATTTAAGGTGTAGTGAACCTAAAATTATTATATATAATAATTGCTTTTATGTCCTCTTCCTAACCCTTCAATCTTGAATTATAGCTGCTCATTTTTCTCTCATCCTAAGTCTTACATTTACACACTCACTTATCTTGGTGCCATTTGACTTGTATCCACTAGCACCAAGCTGATAGGGACATGATCTCCTCCTTACAACTTCATATTCCCATTTCAATCCACAGCACCCACAGTCACTGTTAGGATAATGTCTTACAACTTCATATTCCCATTTCAATCACAGCACCTACAGTCACTGTTAGGGTAATGTCTTTATCTGCTGAGATGACTGTTTCTAAATCTGTAATCTCTTTTTCTCTTTGCTCTTAACGGATTGGCCAAAATTCATGTGTTCCTTACGGAACCAGCATTTTGGAGCATGTACTTTCTCTCAGGGATTATGAAGACTCTGTTTTAAGATCAAAGCTTGGGCTCTGGCAGAATCGGAGCCTAGAATCTATTGCTTCTATTCCACCAACTCAACCAAAGCAGCTTTTTGTTTTGTTTTTAACCTATTCGGTAAAAAGTTAAATGAGAAACTATAAACCAGTTTTTGTTTGTTTGTTCTTTGGTGGTATTTTTGCATTTGCTTTTCAGGCCTTTAATACAGAGTAGTGTTCAATACTTTGAGTGTGAAGGAATTGCCACTTACTCAGTGTTTAATACTTTTAAATATTTTAGTTTTTAATGCAGTGCTCAAAATATCCTACAACTATCCTTTTCCTCAATAGGCATTTGGCACAAACCAAGAGGATTATGCAAGTTACATTATGAATGGTATCATCAAATGGGGTGATCCAGTTACTCGGGTTCTAGAAGATGGGGAGCTGCTGGTTCAGCAGACTAAAAACAGTGACCGTACACCGCTGGTTAGCGTCCTTCTGGAAGGTGAGAAAGGATGATGAGATGGCATTAAAAGTAAAAAAAATCAAAACAGCTACATTTATATATGTGCTAAATGGCACATTCCAGAAAATGAACTATTCTCAGTTCTAAACCTTGTTTATAACCTGAAAATGGTAACCCGATCAATATTGTGTACAAATTAACATTTTCTTGGGGTAGAATGTTACTGATAAATTATAACAACTAATTTTCTTATAGGATTGAATGTAAATGTCTGTGCTACTTAATAGGCTGTATGACATCACATAGCAGCACCCAATTCAATTACGTAACTATTTACTGTGTACTTGCTATGTTTAGTGATACAAAGACATTCCCATTAGAGTATACTGAGTACTGAGGGTACAGAGACGTTCACAGCATTCAGTCTGTTCATAGAAACGACATGTAAACAAATTTCTAGCTATACTGTCTATGTGTAAAGGTATGTGTTCTGGTTACCTGTTGCCACTCTGACAAGAGTATACCACAAATGGGATGGCTTTAACAAACAGGAGTTTATTCTTACAATTAGACGCTTGAAGTCAAGTTCAAAGTGCCAGGCTCTAGGGGCTGGGTGAAAGCCCCTCAACCTTGGGCTTCAGCTCTGCCTCATGTTCCCAGCCCACTGAAGCTGGAGGCTTTTCTTCACTCAGCTGCTGGCTGCTGAGGCTGACAAACCCAAGGTCGACATGTAATAAGACATAGGCCCAATATTACCAAACCACATGGCAGGCCACTAATTCAAGTCCATTAAAAGTCCCAAGATCACCAGAACATGGCAGGCTGCTGAACAACGACATGGCTACATGCAGGGTTCAAGCGTGCCATAAGCTAGAGACCATTCCCAAAGCTGCTTCTTATATACGGGAAGCAGACTTCATTCCTACAGCAGCTACTCAGCTGCTTGTGGTAGATCCTACCATGGAGTTCATTGCCAGTCTCATCATGGGGAATAACTACATTTAGCTGCCCACCACTCAACCAGGCCCAGCCAAGTTGACACACAACCTTAACTGCCACAGTATGTGTGAGTGCAAAGTCATTTTGCCTGGGAATGATCAAGGAGAGCTAATTTTATTTAGGCTTGAAAGCATCAGTTAGGATTTTCCTAAGTAGACCAAAAAAATAAAAGCATTCTATTCCCAAATAATTTAATTATAGTGAAGATCAGAACAACAGCAGAAAAGTTCAGTGAGCCCATGTGACAGGGAAACCTAACCTGTTCCAAGGATCTGGGGCTGCAGGATCCCCGAGAGAAACAAATCAAGCCATGACTCGAAGGATGAAGACAAGCTGGCTAGCAAAGAAAGGAGGGAAGAAGTTCTGGGCAGAGGAACCAGCATGTGAAAAACACCTGGGCAGCTTGAAACCGAGAGGGACGTGGATGAACTCAAGACTGAAGAAGTAGACAGGAGGCAGTTCATACAAAGCATCGTAGGCCATGTTAAAAATCTAGACTGTATCTTAAGGCATGGAAAGCTATTTGTAGGGTTTTAAGCAGTGCTGTGAGACCATCTGATTTGTATTTGCAAAACATCATCATGGCTACTTTGTGAAAAGAAAGAGAATGGATCAGAGGAGCAAAGAGAAGAGAGCTGTGGTTCAAAGGGTTTGTGTGAGCCTTCAGGAGAGCTGGTCTTGGCCTGAGGTGGCGTGGTGGTGGTAGAGGTGGTAGAGGTGGAGAGAAATATTTAGGAGGGAGAATCAAAGAGTTCTTATCACAGTTATTAATTATAAATCATAATTAAGCTAACCATCTTTGAGCCCGTATTATGTGCTGGTCACTCTATGAGTACTTTCTATATATTATTTAAACCCCATTTCAGTCCTATGAGGGTAACTTTTTAGGTTACATTTACGTCTAAATAAGGCCACTGGTTAAGGCCATTGTTCCCTGCTCACAATATCATCTCCTATGAAGAGTACGTGTATTTTCTTTGTTACACAAATGATTTGATAGAATAAATAACATAGGTGCTGATGGACACTTAGATGCGTTCTTGGATGTACATATTCTGATGTACATTTGGATGCACAAACCCTCGCATTTTACGTGTTTAACCAGAACTTTAAAAGATTAAGGCTGTGTGAGAAAGTAAGAAGGAATGTATTTCATCATACTTTTGAGAAATGCTAATCATGATGTTCATTACATTTAGTTGCTAATAAATAAGAGAATACATGTCTGCTGTGAAATTGTGTCAGAAAATGGTAATGAGCAACTAGTTGAGACCTCCAAACGTTGTGGATGAAGTTTAAACTTGCCTTGCTTCCTTTTGCTTAGGCCAGCTTTGTTCCCTGACTGGCTTCTGTCTTTATGCAGGCCCTCCTCATAGTGGGAAGACTGCCTTAGCTGCAAAGATTGCAGAGGAGTCCAACTTTCCCTTCATCAAGATCTGTTCTCCTGATAAGATGATTGGCTTCTCTGAGACGGCCAAGTGTCAGGCCATGAAGAAGGTATCAAGATTTCTGCTTTCATTTCAATTTTCTAACTCTCAAATGTGTGTGTGTGTGTGTGCGTGTGTGTGTGTACATATACATACATACATATATATATATATATACATACACACACACACACACACACATATATATATAAAAGCTATAGCAATTATGTTTTTTCTCAAACGGAACAAAAATTGTCAGCAGAATTTTGTAGGGGAATGTGACTGTTTCAGATAATTTTGTAATGCATTTAGCAAAGAACCATTATGGGTTTTTTTTTTTTAATCTTTGCTTTGTTTAGCACATATTAATGTTAATTTTTATTGCTTAAGTTTGTATCATCTTGATTGAGAGAAGAAGCATAATGGAAAATGTTTGAGTGGAGTGGAGCACATTCATTTACGATTTCTTTTTCAGTTCTTTTATTAATGGACAAAGCCAAACTGTCCAGCGTCAGTGAAGTTCACTGTGTAGGTTGGGAGGTAACAGAGATATATCATTGGGAAAATATTCTCAGCAACCCTTATGAAAGGATGGTTGTATATATGTATAATCAGAGTCAACTTGGCATCTTAATGCAGTCTTCATCTTTTTTCTTTTCTGCAAGTGACATTATTCATCTTCTTAAAATAGCCACTTTGAAATCATCAGTGAAAGTTCAACAATACAGTGTTGGATCCTAGAGCTGGAAGGACCCATCTCCTACATGTAGGCAAATGACTCTAAGCCATCTAGGATAGTAGGTAAACCAATTAAAAAAAAAAACCTCACTGCCATCAAGTTGATTCCAACTCATAGTGAGTTTCCCTGGGTTTCTGAGGTGGTAAATCTTTATGGCAGTAGGTCGTCCCATCTTCCTTCTGCAGAGCAGCTGGTGGGTTTGAACCATAAACCTTCTGGTTAGCAGTCAAATGCCTTAGGCAGCTGCACCACCAGAGCTCCTTAGTAAGTATCTGCTCCTTAAAAACAATAACAACATACACAGTACAACAAACAATAAAAAACAGTAGTAACAAATAATAGCAACAACAAAAATGGATGATGAAGGATCTTAGTAGCTGTTTAGATAGTATTTCCATCGATATTTTAATTTTCTATGCTCCCAGCAGTGAAGAAATTATATTTTATATCCAGCTGAAATATATCATTTATTTGAATCCTTTTCTTGAGCTTGATCTGTTATAGATATGAATAAGTCAAAGACACGGGCAACTCAAAATCAGGGAAAAGAATTGTGAAAATTGTGCCACTTAGTAAAGAAAGCTCAGTGGACTCTTTTACTGTTGCTCCTAGACCCTCACTTTATAAAGATATGGGGTAGAATTGCTTTAGTTTTTCTTTCAAGAAGAGACTGAAGAGAAAAATATATTTAAAAATATTTTAAAACATTAAGACTCCTTTTGAAAAAAAAAAAAGTAAGCTTGAGAAGTTAGTCTCTTGTTTGTACAGGTGGCAGAAAATTGTTTGTGTAGGGTGCTTAAAGTGTATGGAAGAAGGGACCTTGTTGCAGAACCGAAACCAAACAAGATATTCTATAAAAAGATCTTTGAAGTTTAAGTGTGAAAGAGAGGGAGATGTTGCTAGCCACAAAATAAGCTTAGACTATCATAACCAGTTTATTCTGGTTTTGAGGTGAAACCAGTATTATTATCTTTTCCAGGAAAATCTGGGTGGAATAACTGGGACTAGTAACTTCCTTAGAGTAGGACGGGGTTGTTTTCTGTTTTGGTTTTTGTTTTCTCTCTAAAGCATCTCTTGAGCCACTATCAATCTCTTTCCTCAGGTGAAAATTTAAATAATAACCCCTGGCATCTGTGGCCATTAAATTTCCCATTTAATTGAATAGCTAATTCTATTTGCGTTTTCCTACACGTCCATTCCTTATTCTTGTTCAGAAGTAGGAATCTTCCCTGCAGATGGTAAATTACTCCCCAGCTTTTCACCAGCTGCCAGCTTCTACCTCAGATGTGCTCTGAGATGTGGGTGGATGGTCCTGGTTGTCCTATAAAGTTTTTAAAAAGTTCTTTAGGCTTCTGCAGATCAAAGGTGCTTTGTAAGTGTGAGATATTATCATTTTTATTATTTTAATCTCTTGCAAATTGACTTGAGGGGGAAGGTAATATGTGCTGATTTTAGAGGCTTAAATGGTTAAATTAATGGCTTGATAACTTATTATTTAATCTTTAAATTGTTGAAGCCTTTCAAGGTACAGTTTTAGATGAGCAGAAGGCTAAGGAGTATAAAAATAGGTGTGTGTATAAGCTTATTCAAAATTATTTCCATTAATGATTCACTGTCTGGATCATCCATGTATCCTTAAAGTTACAAAAACATACCTGCTTCAGCAGTGTCATAAATTCATATTAGACTTTCTGGGTTTCCTTGAGGGGAGAAATATTATTCTTTGTAACTAAGGTACAGAACAGAGAGAAGAATGAAGTCTAGGTGTCTTAGAAATATATTAGAAATATTGCAAAATCTTTTCCTGCAAATAGTTTTCACATTGTTACCTAATGATAGGTTGACAAAAGCCTGAGGGCCCAAACCAGTCTAAAGATGCTTCCAGGTTGTTTTTGAAAATGAAATATAAATGCCATTCTCTAGTATTTCTGGTCTACCTCCCACCACTGTTCCCGCTCCTTCATTTGTATTATGAGGATGGGAAGGTGTTTCAGTTTTTTTCCCCGCACACAGGTCATTTATCATGTTTTCTCATTCTAGAGGGGAAATTTCTTTCCTTATAAATGCCCCCCCCCAACAAAAAATAATGTAGCTTTTCCTAATTACAAAAATAATGTAGAAAATACAGAGAAGAACATAGAAGAAAGTGAACTGAACCTGTATTTGTATTTGACCTTCAGTTTTTTCTTTACTTAGACACATACACATTATGTATTAGGGATCCCACTGGACATATCTTTTAACCCTGCTTTTTTCACTTAAAGGAGCTCTGGTAGCATAGTGCCTAAGGCATTTGACTGCTAACCAGAAGGCTGGCAGTTCAAACCCACCAGCCACTCCTTGGAAGGAAGGTTGGGTAATCTACTTCTGTAGTGATACTGCCTCAGAAACC